TGAGTCTTAATGGTATAACAGAAGAGGCCTCTGATAATCTCACTTGTTCACACAAGAGGTAGCAAAGTATTGGCTGCTCCAGGAACTAACACTTACTGTGAGCCTTGGGAGGAAAGCCATTTATTTGCTTGGATGACCAAAATAGAACAGCAGTTTGTGCTCACAGGCCATAATAAAATAAATCCTGATAAGTTTTCTACAAGCACAGAACACTTTCCCTTGATACTTTTCCTTTTTTAAGAGAAAATAAAGGAACTGCTAAACTGTCCCCTAAGTAATTTAGGACTTTTACACAGTAAACTGTGAAAGTTTAGTCAAAGAACACATGCAACACACAGAATACTTGCAAACGAAAAATGGGTTTGGAGTCAAGGCCTTTCTTAGTGAAGAAGTTCAGTAACACCATTTGCTACATTCCTCTCTTCATGAGCTGTTAATACTGCACTGCCAAGAGAGAATCCACTATTTATTCGTACTGGACACCCTTGCTTTAAGATCACGGCTACTGTATATAAAACCTCCCTTGTTTCCTGCTGATATCTTCATCTCAACTATGCTTTTGATCTATCAAGGACTGAACAATATTCGGACAATGTAATTTAACTGAGCTTCTCTGTGGAACAGAGGATAGCACTGCTGCCTTGTAGCAAGAAAGTTCCGGGTTCGATTAACGGTCCGGGATCTTTCTGCAAGGAGTTTGCATGTTGTCCCTGAGCATGTGTGGGTTCTCCCTGGGTACTCCAGCTTCCTCCACAGTCCAAAAAACATGTTAGGTTAATTCTATAATCTCATGAATGGTTGTGTCTCTGTGTTCTGATAGACTGGTGACCTAGGGTGTGACCTGCCTCTTGCCTGTAGACAGCTGGAGATAGGCAGCGACCTACAATGGATGGATGTAATTTCAGTTGAAGGAAGGATTTGAAATAGGTCCCTTTTACGTGTCTGAGTCCAAATGAAACAATATTGTATTGCAGGATCTCTGTTTAAACATTCTTACTCAAATTCCTGAAAAATAACTTGTGTGGGCGACATTGTTAAGTAAACAATGTAACTTGTCAAAGATTTTCCGACATCGGGTTCATTTATAGCTCAGTACATTCTGATTAAAATGATTCTGATTAAATTGAAAAAAATTGACATACACTATATGTTTCTGGAGGTATATCATGTAATTTTTTTTTCTCATTCAAGAAATACTAATAACAGGTTTGTTTTGGAATTAGGATATGCAAATATTGGTCTTAAAGATACTTTGGAACTGTTGAGTGTAATTGGAAAGCAACTAAACTGGGCAGTGCCAGACACAAACGAACCTCGTTAAATATACTACTAGTTCCATAGTAGGGCTTCTCGGCTTTTTCCTCTCCTATTTACAGTCAGCTGACTCATGTAGTGGGTTTTCCTGGATGTTCAGATTTCCAATTCCCAGTTCTTTTTTTTTTTTTTTTACAACACACACTTCTTCTCAACTTCTTAACAATAAATGGCATCAAAAGAGCGTGGTGCGACCTGGGATGATGCCGAGATCGAGGCTCTCATTGAAATTTGGGCAGATGACGCTATCCAGGCACATAAGTTTGTGAATGTTGTGGGCTCCACCATTTTTTGGCGTAATTCCTGCCTTGGGAGCTGTAGTATCATAGCAGGTGAGGAACCATGCTAGTGGGATGTGTAAATGGTCGTAAGGAACCAAGCTGATGGGTAGTGTAAATGGGGCAACTGTAAGACTGAGACAATTAAAGGATGGCAGGATGAAAAAATGAAAACATGTCTTCAGATATCTGAATATGGTTGACACGTTGATTTAGTGATGAACAACTCACTGGTAAGCCCTAATTTTGGATTGGTGAGGTTAGAAGAAAGCTAAACTTGCTTCTTTGGGAAACATTAAAAGGAAAGCTACCCTGAACCCAAAGTTGCCATGGAAAAATCTTCAATACTTTTAATATGCTAATAGTAATAGTTTATTTTTCATATATTAGGTCAGTCGAAAAGCTATAGTATTGGTTCATTTAATATATTGATTGATGTTTTGTTTTCCTATTCAAAATAAGGCACACAGTAAAAATTATCTGAGTTAAATTAAAACCCTAACCCTATCTAAATATAACCTTTAACCATTAAAAATAGCTCAGCCCTAACATTTACCTTGCTTTGTTTGGCCGTAAGAGGTTGAAAGACTAAATCCCTTGCTCCACCTACATCCCCCAGAATACCATGGGGTATTGATCAGAGTTAAGGGGAATTGTTGGCATTCTTACTGAACATATTTTCTATTGATATTGAGCAGTTGTCAATTACAATTTATATAAATATTGATTTTTTGCCCAGTCCTAATAGCACTTTCACTGTGCCATGTCACTTTTTGAACTGTAAATTCAGCTCATGATTTGGAAACATACATTGTTTATAGTAGACTTTTAGTACCAGAAAGGGACATAAGCACTAACCTATTGCATACTAGGTGTATTAGGTCAAAATGTCTAGAATTTGATTTAGTTGGATACTTTTAAAACTAAATATGAAGAGAAACAGAAACCCAAAGAGCCTGAAGCAAAAGGCATGTGCTCTAAAACTCAGATCATAATTGATCAAATGAAGGAGGTTTTATTAATTGTTTTTGGGATATACAGCTGTGCTATACTTGATTGAACTTCTACTGCTTCAAGGCTTGTTTTGGTAACAGTCATGGTTAGAATGGAAAAGTTATCCTTACGATTTTTTTCCTTACTAAGGTTAGCTAAGCTACATATATTTTAAGCTAAGCTTCTTCTTTACACAATTTAGATTTAATTCGATACATCAAAAGTAAAAAAATCTTCACTTGCTCTTTACTTTATCTCCAAGCACTGGATCATTATACATAACAACGATTTTAGATCTTGGTAAAGTGCAACTGCTTAGTGTGGCACAAAATAACAACAATGTTTGACTACTTCTTGTATGTTTTGCCTCATCTCTTTTAAATCACAAAGAATTTGCACTTCCGGTTGTGCTTAAGTGTAAGTTCTTTCATTTTGTGATGAATTCATGTACGAAATTAAGGGTTTGAGTCATTAATTCGGGGAAATTTTATAGAAACCTTGTAACTAAAAAATGGAGTTCACTAGAAGAACTGTTGCTGTTTCCTTTGTATTGCCATTCAAATTTCAAAGAAACATTTGAAATATGAAAAAAGGAAAAAGAAAAGCCAATAAGGTGTATTTCCATTAAATGGTTTCTCGCAAATTTACTAGGCTACGCAAACTGCAATTTTGTCTAAATTCAACATTACGCATTGCTGTAATAAAGAGGACATAAAAGTTGCAAACTAATATGGACCACCCATATGAGCTCTTCTGGAATGTGTTGCTTTTAGGCAAGCTGCAATTGTTTTGTCTTGTCAATTAGCATTGTCGATGTAAAATTTTTTTGACATACATAAATCGAGAATAGCCATCTGATGCATCCAATTCCAATAATATCCAAGAACACACAAACAGCTGAAATAGCTGATCAGCCATGTGATGTAAATGTTCGCTACGTCACAACTTTCCATTTTAAAAACAGTGGAACCTATTTCAACTTTTGGTGTTTCCATCAGCCTTTTCTAATGCAATACTCCAACATACCCATAAAAAAGACTTTGATTAAAACAAAACTTGTGAGACATGCAAGACCAGTAAAGAGGCTCACCCTCCCACCCACAAAATTTCAAAAACCTTTTAACAACATCTTGGTGCCAGTTACTGCAGCAGACTGTCTGTTCCAGAAGAGTCCATGCCTTCAAGGGTCAATACATTTTCAGCAGCAGAAAAGGGAATGGGTTTATGGTAGGAGGGCGGTCATATTGTGAAGCCTGATCAGTGTAAAACAGAAAGTTATTGTTCATTCGGTTAGGTTAGTGAGATGAGGCCTGTAATTGCGTTTAAATTTGATTCGGTGTAATTTTAAATTTCAGAGACTCTGCGGATTCTCTCTCTATCTCCATTTGTAACTAGTTTATTTTACTACTGACCAATAAATAATTTACAAGTGTTTGATGGAGCAGTACTCTCTGTCAACTAGAGGGCAGATTTGCTGTTCTTTTCAAGTAGACTTATAAAAATGTTTTAATGGGCCAATAAGTTTTTCTTTTCCACTCTAAAGTGTTACACTTTTTAAGGAGACTTTTAGATGTCTGCCAATAGCAAATTAGTTCTCCCCCCTTATTTAGTTGCAACATATTATAAAGTAGATAAAGTGTTAGAGGAGATTTTCTCAAATCCAACTACTCTGCATATTGTGGATTTCTTCCTGTTTCAGCACACCTGCCTCAAATGATTGTGTGAGCTCCTCAGCACCCTTCTAGTGCTTCAGAAAAGCCTGTTACAATAGTCATTCCTTTGTATAAGTCAGGTGTGTTGCAGAGAGGAGACACTTAAAACTTGCTGGATAGTGGTATTTGAGGACCATGATTGAGAACCACTGCTTTAACACGGCATATTGTTGATTAAAGGTTCGGAACTTGTTTTACAAAAAAAAAATCTCTTTCTCTCTCTAGTGTTATAATTGACTACTAAAAATGTGTGTACTGTATGGTTAACCCTTCCTTAAACCTCAACCTTCAGCACTCTAGACAACTGGAAATTTTCCTGAGGTTTGTGGAAGTCCCTCTATCCTAGAAGGAAATAGATCATTGAGTCTTTAAACACAGGCCGCTGTTTTTAGATGAAATTTAAATTACAGCAGTCATTCCCAAATTGAGACATACTGTAGGTTCAGACTGCTTAACCAAATGGTCATCAGTATGTTGATGTAGGTTTGAGGTTTACAAAGGACATACCGCATAGGACAGCAGAGAGAATCACGATACTTATATTTCAGCTTAGAAAAATACATTTTTGTGGATATGTTTAAGCAAGCTTAAGCCAATTTTGCAGAACTTTCAATGTTGTCTTTTTTTTGCAGGGATATACCCCTTCTCCCTACAATTCAGCAGATAAAAAATATGTGATGAATTTTCACTGTCATCTTTTCAGAAAAACTGCTGGTGTTAACGGTAGCGACAGAGGAAACGGACGGCTTTATCCGCTTCATGCAAACCGCAAACTATTTCAACTACACTGTAAAGGTGAGATTGTTATTACTAAACAAAGCCAAAAAAAAAATCTGTGTTGTTGTTTGTCCCTGCTATGATTGAAACTAAAAAGAAAATAAATGCAACAAAAATCAAAAGATTCGGATAAAACTCAGAATACCAGAATTCATAATATTAACCCATATTCATGACAACTTCCAGAAAGAAGGATTATTTACACATTAGGTACAATGGGGTTTAGAAGGGTTGCTAAATAGCGCTACAGCTCATATTTTATTTGTTATGCTGAGTTGCTAATTCTGGATGTCACATCATCATACCTGCCATTTAATAGCTAGACTGTTGTGTTTTCTTCCATTCAAATTGTGCACACTGTAGCTCTTAGTCCCATTCCTTCACCTTTTTTGGGCTAAACAGTCAAAACTGTCATAGGGATGAAAGGAACTCCAGTCTGCTGTTATTGGAGCAGTCTGGAGGATGCTAGTTAAAATAGTTCTATATCCTTCCAAAAAAAGAACTAAAAAAATGCAAGTTACATATACTTAATACTCTCCATTTTAAACCCCAAACATATGAAGGTATGTACACTTAGTGTACATGTAAGGTAACAATGTATTTTTTTTACAAAATTGTTGTGCCTTTGCATCCTCTCATGCAAAGGATTATGGGCAAACGTTTACCTTGTATGAAGTGGACAAGTACATTGTGAGGTCCATATGCTAATTGAACAATTAATAGGATGCTTCCCCTTCCTACCTCCTTCCTTAATTAAATTAAATTCAGTTTATTTATATAGCGCCAATTCACAACACGCCATCTTAAGGCACTTTACAGTTCAACCAGATCATATAGTAAAATTGATTCAAAGTTTTCTATCAAAGGAAAACCAGTTTATTGCATCGACTCAAAAACAATCCCTCACACTAAGCATGCTTGTAGCGACAGTGGAGAGGAAAATCTCCCTTTTAAAAGGAAGAAACCTCCAGCAGAACCAGGCTCAGTGTGAGCGGCCATCTGCCGAGGCCGACTGGGGTTCAAGGAGACAGAAGCAGAGATACTGCAAGAGATAATGCAAGCAGTATTCGCACAGCATTTATTGTTTCAACTGCTTCCTCTTTGGCTCAACTGTACTTACTGATTTGCACTATTTGGATGTGCTCTTTCTCTCTTTTTAGCTGCCATTTAGATGTCCACTTGATTAGGTTGTAACTATGATTGGTAATTCAACATAAATAGTAAATTATCTTCAAGATTATGAATTTTTCTTAAACATTATTCTATCAAGCTGTTTTTTTTAAACACATTTATTTTATTTATATAATTTATTTATTTTTTTTTCAAGTTTTTTTTTTTTTTTTTTATTTACAAAACAATACCGACATTGAAGCCTAGAGAATTAACCGATACCTATATTTACTTGATAAGACATTGGCACGGATCATACATACTCTTATTACTCATTTTGTTATGTTGAATGTTAGAAAAGGCTTGATCATGTGCAATTAACAAAACAGAGGACAATAGTCAACAAAAAAGGTATGAATAGACTTGGGCAACGTAGTATTACTAAATGGGTTACAATAACTTTAAAGAAACTTTAGAGATTTTCTATCAGAATGTCAAAAGCGGAGATTTAAGACGCCAGGCGCTATTACCTTTTTTATATCTGACTGATGTCTGATAATTATATCAGATCAGAAGGACACCCCTACACCTTATGCATGAACATTTCCTGCCTGAGCTGAATACAGACCAACCATGTTTTAAAGCTCTTTCATTGGCTGTCACCTCATGTCAATCATTTTCAAAAATGGTGCTGTGTCAGTATGCGAACTTGTTGCAAGAGAAGCTGTCGGTTTTTGTTCCTCGGGACGACTAGTTTTGACGTGCTATCATAACAAATTTAGGATTTGTTGTGATAGCAAGCTAATACACAGCAGAACACAGGCACACCCAACATAGCGCTCCAGAACTCTGATGGATTTGTATATTTTTGCCAGGAAAAGCAAATATTGCTTTTTTTTCTTTCTCTTTTTACTAAAGAAACACAAGTTTTTAGGGGAATACACCCAAGAGGAACTATTTTTTATGCATTATTATGAACAAAATGAGCCCATACATGCCTTCTACTTACATTTGTGAAGGCATCTTCAGTGTAAAATATATATATTTTAATATGGTATTCTTCACATAAATGTACTAATAGAGGCAGTTTCATGGCATAATTTCACTAGTATGATCATTTTCTTTAGAAAGAAAATAATGATGTCTATGAAGTTGGTAATGAAATAATTTGTGAAGATCACGCCAAATAAATGAAAACGGACACATAACAAGGCAGGTATAGACCAAGTGGTATGTGGTTAACCTTTTAGGAACTGTATTGATTGTTAATTTCAGAACTAAAATTATCTCAGTCTCAATCCCTCAAATCAGACCTTGGTTTTCAAAAATCAGTTTTAACACTGAGCAGTGATATAATACCATCTTTTTTTTGGCAACTGGTTACAGATTTTTTTGTGCTTTTTGCGATTTTTTTTGCTTCTCTTAATTTGTTATTCTTCCTTATTTTATTCATTTGTACTTTGATTGTTTATTTGAAAGTTGCTAGCCTTGTAAAATAATTTCTTCACTGAAGCATTTAACTGGAAGTTGGTGTATTTTCTTAAAAAAAATATATTCTTGTATTATGGAGAGAAATTGCTTATCTTTGTTTTTTAACTAAACAACCCTTGCACTGTGCAGGAAAATACTTACCACACACACTTTACAGAATTGATTGAGCCTTGTTAAAGAGAACAAAGAAGTGCAACAAGCTGTGAAAGTCTGCCATCCCAAAGGGAAACCCCATGATGCCCACACAATCATTTCCCTTTGTGGTTTCAAAAACAGTTTTTGTTTGTTTTTAGCCATGTGGTTGGCAGTGGCGCGTCTGCACTGGTATCCTCATGTGCCCTTATTTGCAGTACTTTTAGAGCAGTTTGATACTAACCTAGTTTGAATTTGACATAACAAAACTTATGGGCCACAAATCTTAGCTGCATAAGGTAACAGTCAGTGTTTTAATTTACATTCATTTTTATCAAATAAGAACATTACTGAAAAATAACTTTATTCCAGGGAGAGTTTCTGCTTTTAACAGCAAATTTAAGATTAGAATATTACAACAGACCGGTAAACATTTTAACAGAAATGTCAGCTTAAAGTAAACCAAGTTTAACACCTCTTAAAAGCTTTTTTTAATTTACTTTAAATCTGACAAACAAGCTTCATTAAATAGGATATTCTAATTTACTGAACATTTCTGTGGTAGATTCTAGATTTAATGTTCCAGTATAAAACCGATGTCTAGTTTCCTGCAGGTCCTTAAAAATGTATATTGCATATTTTTTTATTTTTGGCAGCACATACAGTGTCACATTTTAGAACAGAGGATCCAGTATTCAGGCAAGAGAGATAGTGGGATTATTCAAAAAGTGTTTATTTAAAAACTGCCTCGGGATCTTCTGTAGCAGCGGATGTAACTAAGGCTGGAAACTCTGCGGAAAGGAAATGCTGGTTAGTGACCTTAATAATCTAACGGAGGACGATTATGAACATGAGTCACTAACCTGTTTTACAAGTTCAGTTACAAGTTCAGTCCATGCCCAGAGAAACAAGGTAGGATCCCGCCAGTTGGGGCGGGTGCTGCCCAGAGCGTCCCAGATGCTGCAACCCTGGACAACATACAGCAGTCCGAAACCAGGTCAGGCAAACAGATCAGAAGAGGAACAAGCAGACTTAGAGGTCCAAGAGTCCGAAGCCAGGTCAGGAACAGATCAGAGAGAAACAGGCACGCTCAGAGGTTCAGAAGTCCGAAGCCAGGTCAGGCAACCAGATCGGAACAGGCAGGCTCAAAGACCCAGGAGTCCAAAGAAAGTTCAGGCAAACTGTTTAGACAGGAACAGGCAGGCTCAGTGGTTGAGAGGCAGAACAGGTCAGGATCAGGAAATCAGAAACACCAGGGTACTCTAAAAACCACTCACCATTGGCTAGAGAGAAAAAGATAATCTGGCCCTAATGACTGGATGCAAGCCCCTTAAATAGAGGAAGGAGCAGGAGGATAAGATGAGCAATGATGGGAAACCAGGCAAAGTTAGACAGGTGAATGGAATGAGTAATTAAGCCAGTCATCAGTGCTAAGATAATGACATACAGTGTAAATGGGAATTAATAAAATATTCCTTCCCGCCAATCATTACATATAACTATGGAAGGATCAGCCCAACTTTTAAGGTTATTCTGTTAGGAAACTAATGGTAAATGTGGAGAACTGTTTGTCTTCAGCCTGTTTACATTTTTGACATTTTTTCCCCTGTTTTAGGTGTTGGGAATGGGAGAGACCTGGAAAGGCGGTGAAGTTGGTCGTTCGATTGGTGGAGGGCAAAAAGTCAGACTACTGAAGGAGGCCATGGAGTCTCTGGGTGATCAGGAAGATCTTGTCGTCTTGTTTGTGGATAGGTATGTTATTAACCAAACTTATATGAAGCTATCTATATTTTGTATTAGTCTTTTCATCATAGTGTCATATGTTCTAGCTATCTTGAGTTTGTTTGCTTCATTGTCATCTTCAGTTTGATTTACCTTTCATCTAATCTAGATTTAATGTCCAACCGAGAAAAAGATGCAAAGCACCTTTAATTGTAGTATGGCACTAACCATCATGTGCTGTAATGACAGATTTGAAAGCCAGAACCCCTTGGTGAAAGGTGTTTTGGGTGGAGCAAAAACAGCAATCAAACATTCCGTGATAAGCATCATTATATGTGAGGAGAGATATTCCCACATGCAGTTAGATGAATTATAAGCTTTGAACACTGATAGATATTTTCTTTCAGAGACAAAGTGAGGGGTTTAAAACTGCATGTGTTGCTAGGGCCTTTCTCTTTAGATACGGCAAAAGATCACAATATTTACATTACTGTGTTATATATAATCTCAGTCAAAGTTTCAATCTCTTTAAATCGAGTAGTTAGAAAATAATGCTCTTAACTGTAAAACTGTGGTCTATTAATCTGCTTTAATACATCCGAGGATAGTGAGTAATTCAGGATATGTTATATATTAAAATCCTCTTGGCTCACCAGGATGGTGTTGGCATGTTCTGCCTTTGTAATAATCACCTCCTCACATTATGTTTGTAAATTTATTTCAGCGACCAGAGCTTAAGGGGGTTCTACATTCCATAAATTAGAAGGTCTATGCTTTGTAGTTGCTGCTCACCTTGCTGCTGTGTTAAACTAACCAAGCACACAATTTAGTGTCTATTCATCATATCCCCAATTAACATCAATATTTTAGTCTTTTTATTTCCACTACTGTAACTCCTAGGTTTTGGTAAATTCTGCAGACAGCTGCAAAACAGTATTCTCAAAATCACAACTGAAAATCTAAGGTTTCCAGGTTGCATTTGTCTTAAATTTATTTCCATGTAATTCTCAGACGAAATTTAAAATGGTTTCATGACAAGAGCCCTATTTCAGTGGTACAAGTGATTTAATATCTAACAAGTGTCTAGGGATCTTTATGTGAACATGTGTCTGCCAGATGTGGAGCAAATGTTTCGACTTCCTCACCTACGTCAGACTTCCTTTTATGATTCAACCTTTACTTTTGCTGCCATGCTCTCTCTATAAATGTTCCTTAGTCTGGACTACTTTTAGACTTGCACTACCCCATTAATAGAAGGTGTTCTGTATTCAATAACTCTGTTGTGAAGCCATATTTTTTTTAGCTTTAAAGGTTCACTGTGCCCACCAAAGCAATAAGACATCAAATAACTCAGGTTACTGATAATTATAGGGGAGTGGTGGCCTAGTGTTGTTGAAGAAGAACTATTTACATAAATTTGAATGTACAAATTTGCAATCAAAAACGATTAATATCATTATTAAAGATCTGGCCTGTGAAACCTTTATACTGCTCAGGCTTCCAGAAAACCAGAGACAAAGCATGTGGAATTTTTTTTTTTCCCTTTTAGATTTCTATCAGACTCAGGCATGTAAAAGCATATGCTCTGTGTCAAACTTGATGACATATGTTGAAGAGAAGACTGCTCCTTTAGGATATGTAAAAGAAAAAAGATTTGTTACATTTTGTTTTCTCTCCTCCCTCTCAAGCTATGATCTTATCTTCGCTGGGGGACCAGAGGAGATCCTGAGGAAATTCCAACAAGCCAATCACAAAGTGCTGTTTGCTGCAGAGGGGCTGATATGGCCTGATAAAAGGCTGGCTGACAAGTACCCTTTAGTCAGAAGTGGCAAGCGTTACCTCAACTCTGGAGGTGGGTTTCAAGAGTTTAGTTTGCCTTTATGAGCTAATATGTTTTTACGGTTTGCTGAAAGCCTGATCATTGCTGTTCACACCATAAAACTCAAAAGCAGAAATCTGTTAACAAAAGTATAACATTGCTCCAGTTGTTGATCTTGTAAATTAATTTTTACCATAAAATATGCTCTTTGACAAACACCAAAATACAGAGAACCACATTTTCTCATTAGCAATCTAAAATTGATCCTTACTCTGATTGAGACACTGTAACTTAACATTAAACAAGCTGTTTATCCTTCCAAAAAAACATTTTGGCAAAACAAACACCCAACTTAAAGGACCACAACCCTTCCATGTTTAAAATAAAAAAAAATTTAAACCTTTATTTTGGTTTCTTCAGGTAATCTGTGCATGATTTTTGAGTCATCTAAAAACATCTATAAGGTGGAAAACACAACACTGTACCTTGAGGTACAGTGCAGAAACACTATGCAAGAAACACTGGAATCACTGTTTGACAGTGTAGCTATTTAAACTGTCTACACTGTTTATAACAGCTTTTACTCACTGATGTAGTCATCTTTCTATAGCATAAGTACAGTGATTGTATATTGTGTTTTAATTATGTGGTACATTATGTCTTTACTTTGAAATAACTACCTCCAAGCTGTTACCCATATTTAACAACACATTAAGCTATGTCTAAAATTTGCAGATTGCAGTCTATTTGATGTATGTGTAGTTTACGGTTAAGTAGATTTGACAATAAAAAACTCAGTGCAAGTAATGTATAGTGAAAAATGTTTAAAGCAATATGACATTTCTTCCCAAGTTTGAAGCAGTGTTACCCTCATTTTGAACCACTTACTAACCAAAGTAACTGTGTGAACTCTGTTTAACCCAAACCACTATCAGCTGTCAAACTTTGAAGACTGGCAGGCCTTGCTGGAATTCAGTGGGCCAAGCGCAGACTTAAGCTGTCTTTTGTGCAAGGAGTATTGGAGCACCATCTAGGAGTAGCAATAGCCTCATGTTGTTTTTTAAATACAAAACCCCGAACTAATGCCTAATTCATGGAGTGAAATTGGAGTATATTTTCCAAGTAAACCTGGATTTTCAAGTATTTCCTGTCAGTGGTGAACAGGATATGGGAGGAGATAATTTGTGTGTTTAACCATATGCTTAAGCATCTTTTTTTAGTAGTCATCTTCCTGGTGGTTGATGGGACATATATTACGGTCTCGTATGGGGATAGCTCGAAAACCTTTTACCAACTGTCCACATTTGTAGAACTCAAAATAGGTAGAACATTTTGCAACAAAGCAAAAGCTTATTTATGGTTAACCTAAACCAGTTTCTTCCAGTTCCCTGGTGCTTTGGACTGCTTCTTTCCCTGTGGTCATCAATTTGGTCTGACCTCCCATATTGGAGTCTTACTGTCTCAGACTGATCAGAGACTGTTTTAAGCGTTCATTGTCATTGACTTGACATGTGGATTTGTCTTGGGCCCCCGAGTGTGCCACAGTTTGCATTAAATTGCAGGTTTTGTTTGTATTCCGGCTACCGCCCAAGTGACCGGTGAGGAAAGTTTTATAGCATTTGGACATGCACAGCTGTGTCAAAGAGGGTACATAACTCTGGAAATGGAGTCTAAATAGATATTCTGTGTTTGTCTTGTCTTTTTGTGGATATTAAAGCAGAGAAAGAAAAGGAGATACTTAGTATCTAACATGGTCAAAAAGGAGCTGTTCTGTTCAAGTGTTTCCCCCCTATGCAAAAATAAGATCATGTGTTTGCATATAAGAAACACATGATCTTATAGATCTTATAGATAGATATGTGTTTGTTTGCATGGTCCTAATGTAACTTAATTTCTATATTTTTCCTTTTTTTTAAACAAAGACTAAAACTACAGTCAATCCTCAGTTCATCAGTTAATTTGAACACATAAATGTCATTTTACGCATTAATTCCAGGCATTAAGGCATATTCACACGGGGAGGATGGCTTTCAGACCAATCTCGAACAAGATTATGAAAGAGGACTTAGCCTAATTTAAATATGGCAAAGTTGCGCCCTAAACCCTAGATCCCTCAATCACTATATAGAGTGGGAACTATATAGAGGACTTTATAGTAAACTGTTAACTGATCGTTTGGAGAGATGATTACTATTTTTCGCTCCCTGTTGGTCACGTAACTCCGCCTCCACCACACAGTGTCTGTGACATCTTTTTTTTATTAGTCTCCGCGTGGGGTAGCCTATACCAGCCTATGGCGACAGTGGGACACTCGGAGAGCAAATCCCAGAATGCTTTGCGAGGAGAGTTTTCCTTGCAAAGCATTCTGGAATATATCTGCTCCTCTAGTGACCATGGGTGATCACTACTTTTCAAAGTGCATTGTGGGAAATTTTGAGTCACCTACCTTTTCATCCACTAGATGTACACACACTAATTAAAAATGGCATAACCACTATATAGTACCTTATATAGTGATTAGGGCAGGCATTCAGACACAGCTGAAGTCTTAGCATTTCGCAGTTGAAAAATTGCAAAAATTTTCATTTTTATACAGTTGGCTATTCAAAAGTTTCAAAGAAAGAAAAGCAATTTGTTGTAAACAACAATTAAACGAATGAAAGTGTTTATCGGCCAATCAAATGTTTAAGACCAGAAATAAACTTAAAATAAAAAAAAAAGTTAATAATGAGTAGCTGCCCGATTCTTGTTAAACACCTTGTTAAATAAGTTGCTGCAGGTGGTGCAGAGGGCTTCATATAAGACATCCACTGTCTGAATTGGGTTTCCATGTTTGTAAACATCCCTTGCCATCTAACCCCAACAGTTCTCAATTGGATTGAGATCTGATAAGGACGCAGTGTGGTCCAGAAGAGTGATGGTATTTCTCCACAAGAAGACCTTTGTCAGACAGACATTGTGAACTACAGTGTGGTCTTTTTTGGAAAACCCAATAATCACAACTTAGTCAATGCCCCTTTCAAAATCTCCACATAGCAAGCTGTAGGCTGCTTTTGACTTTCTTCCCCCGCTCCTAGCTTTTGCATTATGTCATGATTGTTCCCTGACTTGTTTACAGTGTCTGTCTGACTTTTTCAAATGATGGGATAATTGCGCACAGCAGCAATGTAGCTAAACCCTACAATCTATTACTGTGGTTGCTGTCCTTGAGTGACAGAGTGAGAGAAAAAAAGGCTAAACCTAAAGAGGAGACTGCCATGGGAATTACATTTAGTGTGTGATGCAAGATGGTCATAACAAGTACATTGCAACAGCTTTAAAACATTTTTGCAAACCTCTGTGGAACAGTTAACGTCCCTGCCCTGATTATTGCCAAAAATCTCACTTAGTTTTAGGCATCCAGGCTTCCCTAGAGTTGGAGGCTGTTAAGCCAGCCAGCAGTCTGCCAGTTGTGTAAACACCTCTCACCGTATCATTTACACGTTGGTAAGCATTTCATGTTGTTAATTTCTTGCAGGTATAATTGGGTATGCCCCTTATGTAAACAGAATAGTTTCACAGTGGGATCTCCATGACAATGATGACGACCAGCTCTTCTACACTAAGATTTACCTGGATCTATCGAAAAGAGTATGTTGTTTTTTTGTATCGTTCCTCTGTGCACACAGCATCTGTTCAAAAATATTTCTGACAGCTGAGCATATTTCTATCTTTACATCTTACAGGAATCACTTAACATGACTCTGGACCATAAGTGCCAGATTTTCCAGAATTTGAATGGGGCAATAGGTAAGTAATCCCATTTAAAGCCAATTGGCACATTTAAAAGCCATCATGCGAGTGAGAACAATTAGTTCATACTGAAGTAACTTCAAACCAACATTGAATGCTTTTTCAACTGATGAATAACTAGTTATGGCAGCAGAAATAGCCCCTTATTTCAGGTTTTACAAGTTGGCCTTGTCTCCATGTTTTTTTCTTTTTTCTTTGTAGATGAGGTGCTTCTCAAGTTTGGGACTGACAGGGTGCGAGTAAGAAACACGGCATACAATTCTCTGCCTGTTGTGGTCCATGGCAATGGGAACACTAAAGTGAGTACACAGCTTTAGGCGTATATAGACATGGGCTTGGAAAAGATTCCTGTGGTATTGTAGCCTTGTGTGAGACAATCTCTCTTTCTTCCCACGGAAAAAAAATGAAAACAAAAATGTATAGCATTATTTCAGTTATTGTGTAAAAGGTGCTACTGTTGCGATGAGCGAGCATCTGGTTGTTTAAGACTATAACAACATCTAATAGGTTCTTTAGATCAGAAAACATATAACCTAAATTTAATAGTAACCTTAAAAAGCATGTATTTAACAGAAAAAACAAATTTCTGTGTTTTCCATTTTTATAGAATAACATTAATTGCAACTACTCTATTTTAGTTGTGTAAACAGTCAGGCAATCTACTCCTTAGAGCCTGCAGTCAGCAGACTGACTAGTATATTTTCCATGAATTGTCAATTGTAGGTAATTTTTTGCCAATGTTGGTCATGACTTACCAAGGAGTCAAATCTACAGCAAGATATACAGTAAGGGAACCACAATTTCCCCTTTGTGGGAGATTAAAAGGATTTTCCATTCTAAGTTACTGCCCATGTTTTTTTTTTTTATCCAGCAGATGCTATATAAACTAGGGGTGACTAGATCTGCAGACATTTCCCACAAAATCAGCCTTATATCCTTTTTTATAGTGGGCTAATACAATTGAGACCCATGTATCAATGCAAACACTTTGCACAGTTATGTGTGTCCTGAAGCCTGTGTGTGAGGTTCACAAATGAAATTAAACCCTCTGACTGCATTTCTCCACCTCCCAGCTAATGTGTTTTAAAGATGGTCTGTTTGATAATTGTGCCCTTTATGATGTCATAAGGGGGAATAAGCTGTCAATAGCAGTCTGTAGCAGCCCATTGGTCAAGTTATGGCCTTCATTTAGTGTATTATTCCATGCTCCATGGATACATTCAAGAACTCTGACTGGTTGTCATGGTTGCAGCTTGTAGGGGTGCGTCCTTCAGCAGAACGGGGGGCGTGGCAAGCCAACAATAGTTTCTCCAGAGGAACCCTAAATAAGGAGACTTTTGGTAAAGGCTGTCTGCCTAATTTGAGAAGAGATTTCCTGCATAAATGGCAAAAAAACATGCTCTGGGTCTCATTGTTAATATTAATATTTTTCTTATTCTAAATGTAGAATAATATTGGACCTGTAAAAGAGAGAGTAAAGTTTAGCCTTCTGACAGCAGTGAGCAGCAACAAGCTGGGAATGGGCAAAACTTCATGGCACTATGCTCCATAAGGCTTGTGAAGTACACTAACTTCACTGGTAAACTACCATCAGGAGCTTAAACCCCATTAACAATGTAACAGACTTTTTATTTTTTAATATAACTTTTTGAAAATCTTACACTGATGTTAAAAACCTTACACTGATGGATTAAAAGTGCACTTTCCAATTTTTTTGGAAAAAAAAGCTATGTATATTTGAAGCTTGCCAGGTGACCCTGACCCTTATTGCCTGGTCATTAGTCATTCATGTCATGGTTTGTTTTCTTTTGACCATGTGTTTCTCATTTGCTCTATACTATCTCACAGCAATCAGTCCGAGAGTCACTAAGTTAACAGATGTCTGTAATATAACATTATCATTTTAAAATGATGAAACATTTTCCTCCATTTTATTCCTTGCAATCTTCCTTCTCTATCAGGCCATTGAGTTATGAATCAAACCCATTATTGAGTCATTTCTCCAAAATGTCTTAACAGCTGGAGGTGTAGCTCTTAATGTTAGAGCACAGTATCCATGCCTTTCTAGGACTGGAAAAACCCAGCTGAATGTCTGGCCTTGAATATTTCCTAATGTTTAGTCATTCTAATTCCATTCTAGTTACAAGCAAAGGATTGCAATTTAATCTCTACTTTAATGTTAAAAGTAGCACCTAGACAAATTAAATTCAGCAAGCCTCCTACTTAAAAGCAACCTAAGTAAAAAACAGCATTGTTAATGAACAGAATATTTAGGGAACTATTTGTTTTTGGAGACAACATAAAAGTCTCTGCAGTGGTCACAGTTATTTGGCAAGAAGTAATTTAATGAAAACATATTTTTCGCCAAAATACATCAAGTTTAGCGAATAAATGCTCTACCTAAAACTGCATTTTCCTTATGTGCCTGCCAATATGTACAGGGAAATTAACAGGCTTTGCTATAACAAAAAAACAAAAAAAATACAATTTCACAACATTTTCCCTACAATTAAAGTTGATTTGCATTTATTGACTTTATACTTAGACAACATTTATTGTCATTTTGTATACAGAGTGTATACAATGTGAAATTTCGATGTGTACAATTCTCATGACATTTCCATTTCTTAAAGTGCAGCACTGATCAGATGCAAACATTGTGGGAGAAAAAACGTGGTGCAAAAAACACATAATTACACATTAGTCCTCTAAAGGTTCCTGTATTAGATTCATATGCATTTTTTCTGTTAAAGGTATAGAGGAGGGTGTTCTTTTTCCAGGTGGATCATCAAAATAAGTGGTCTTCCTAATTGTCAATCATTCTGGTGATATGTTTATGTAAGGCTGTCCTACGTCCTCGTCCTCATTTTCACTTACCGGTGGTGAGTCTTGTCGTGGGGAGAAATTGCAAATCTTCTTTTTGAAAGTAAGCTTTTAAAAGCGATGCAAATCGCAATTTTTAAACAGAGCATGAATGAGGAGAAATGGGTTTGTCTATCCTATCGCACACATTTAATAGGCATTCCCTCTCTGGAGCGGGTACAGGGTTGTGCATGTGCATTTTTCTTAAAGTGGATAGGGGGACTCTTCAAAAATTCACGAAAATTCTTCTCCATACCTTTAATCAAAAGAACAAAAACAAAAAAAAGGTTAGTTTTAATAACTCTTTAGCCCTTAAAATTGTTGTTTTTCATTCTGTAAGAAAATATTTAGTGCTCCATGAGAACAGTTAAATAAAAATAAAAATTGTGTTCTTCACTGGTGTAATAGAACACATAAAACATGTAAAGCAAAAAACTTTCATTTATATGAAAAAAAAATCTACAAGGTATTCACTTATTTTTTACCTTTGTGAGAACCTT